ATCCTTCCGCCTCAGCCTTCTGAGTAGCCGGAACTACAGGCGCGCGCTGCCACGCCCGGCGAAACTTTGATTTATCGCAGAGATGGCCTCCACACTGGCCCCACCGCAGTTAATTCTGCAAGATGCATGGGCTTCCTTCTCTGTGAGAAGATGATCCTCAGGAGGGCGGAGACCGACCCCCTTGCTCAATGGCAGCAGGGCCCCGGCGGTGTCTTGCCACAGGGGCGCCCAAGAGATGGGCATCTGACCGGCGGGGGCTGGGGAAGGTGGAGGAATATCTCACTGGGCCACTGCCTGTGCGTGCATGCGTGCGTGCATGGTGCAGGTGTGCGAGAGAAAGACCTGGATTGGGACTTAGGAAACGTGTGGACTGTGAGCTGGGTTGGGGCTAGGTGCCTCAGGCCAGGGAGGAGATGGGGATGGCCAGTGTTGAGACCATCTCTAGCACATTGGGAGGCTGAGGCAGGATCCCCCAAGCCTAGGAGTTTGCGACCAGGCTGGCAACGTGGCAAGACCTCATCTCTACAGTAAAAAAACTAGCCAGGTGTGGTGGTGTACATATACTCCCAGCTACTCGGGAGGCTGAGGAGGGAGGATCTCCTGAGCCCAGGAGTTCGAGGTTGTGGTGAGTCGGGATCCTGCCACTGCACTCCAGCCTGGGCAACAGAGTGAGACCCTGACTCAAAAAACCAAAACAAGGCCGGGTGTGGTGGCTCAACCTGTCGTCCCAGCACTTTGGGAGGCCCAGCACTTGGGAGGATTGTCTGAGCCCGGGGGTTCGAGAATAGCCTGGGCAACTTGGCGAGACCTCGTCTCTACAATAAATCACAAAAACTAGCTGGGCGTGGTGGCGTGCGTCTGTAGTTCTGGCTGCTGGGAAGGCTGAGGGGGAAGGATCACCTCAGTCCAGCAGGTTGAGGCTGCGATGGCCGAGAGCGGCCACTGCACTCCAGCCTGGGCGATGGAGCGAGACTCCGACCAGAAACAAGACAAAAGACGTCGAAGGCCCTGTGAGGGGCAGAGAGGCCGAGGACTGGGGAGGGGGTACCGGGCCGGCTGGGGCTTCTGAGGAAGCAGAGGCGCTCCCAGTGACCCCAAGCAGGCCTCTCTGTGCCCAGGAGGACC